ACAGTTTACAGAAACAAAAAAGCTTTTCCTTAAACTAACCTCCAAAAGCTACGACTACAACAATTTTTCAAAAATCATAAACACTGTACAACAACTCATACAACCTCAAACTGAATCGAGAGAAGCTACACGATATTGTACCTTGGATATATGAACGCCGAGATTCCTGTGAACACCAGAGCATTCGATGCACATCAAAACTCCAAGATTCAACGATGCCCAATCAGGGTCAGGTGCATTGCATTCTGCACACGCGTCATTTCCTGGGATTCCTTTGAGTATTGAAAGAACGTCATCCCCCATATTGAGTCTTTGATTATAGTTTTGTTTCTGATCCATGGAGAGGTCATCGCTAGAAGAGTTTTTGTCCAAGAATCGAAATGGTGACTGCAGAAGATAATACACTATGTATTAGCACAAAAGCTTAACACTCTGATTTGAGTCTAAGTTTATAGAGAAGCCTGAGGCTCGTTTTGTGTCAACCTGTTGCAGGAAATGAGAGTTCAGGCGTGTTGCTATAGCTGCTGTGATCTTATTTACCCAATCCAACCTATCAGATCCATTTTCAGCCTAGTCGCATAGAGAGATAAGCTGTGTAAAGCCTCCTGAAGCTATATTTGCTCCTCCACATTCTCTATATCTAATAATTTCGGTACCTGTAATGTGTAAGTCTTTTGAGGAGAAATTATTCTGAAACAGAGTCGAAGGTCTGTGTCCTCTGCATCCAATTTTATCAGTGAGGTACGGAGATCGATCATATTGCAATCTAGGCTTCCCTGTGAAGCTGATCGAACGTGTCTTGAACGAAATCTCCCAAAGACGCCGCTGTTATGCTCACCTAGACCACTATAGTAATGTTGAGATCCCTGAGAAGAGATAAATATGGTTAGAAGGACAGAAACTGAGAAAGAGAAACTTAAAATGAAGAAAACACAGGTGCGATACACAAATAAAGAGCCAAAACATGAGGGGATGATAGTATATCTAATATTCATTTTTGACCAATGTTCATAGCTGCAGTAAAAAACGAGCTTGGCACACATACCGCTGCTTTATTACCGGTGTTTCTGTAATAGTATAGAGATCCATGATTGTCAAGTACAAAGAACCTCCTTTTCCAATCAGCTCTCAGACTAGCTGATCGCTTTAATAGATATCCCTGTTTGATTACCTGCATTAGTACAGAAGATAAAATATGTAAGACGTTAGCCTGCATGAGAACTGAAGCAGTGAAGCTTAATGAGTCATCATTTCGTTAATATATCTTTGAACAGAAGACCCAAATCATGAAGCCAGAAATTCGTTTCAGGCACAACTTAAAAATTGACAATATTGCCTCAACTTCATAAGTATATTCATAAGAGTTGGCATTGCCGCAGTTACAAAGCAAGATCGTGTCCTAAAGTTCTAGCCATGTTCCCAACCAATATCAGTTATACTTATATAGTTATATGTTTGGACAGACTATGCCAATTATACCTATTTTCATGTGGCAAGACAAAACTTAGCAATTTTTTTTTACCAGAGAACCATCGGAACAGTTTGTGTGAACTATGGCTTTGCACTTGACTACTACATGAGTGAGTTGGAGAACCTTACTTCCTTGTCCGCTGTTGATATCGAAGTTGCTTCTATGTTTTTATACGGGATAGTTCTATAAACATGGTTTCCATCAGCACTCGACGGCTCTGCTTCAGCAGAGACCTGTTGGCTGTCTAATTCAGACTGTGTCCTGAATTCTTGAATGCGTCTTGCAAACCGATCTTGTTCAATCTTAGACTGTTCTTTTGACTGTTGTGCATATGTCAATACCTGTTAAGAAGAAAAGTAGCAAGTAGAAGTTCCAATTAATTTTCTTAGAAAACAAGGAGAACTGTTTAGAAAGGGAATGACATTAAGGTTGTACCTGATGGATATAAGGCTCCAATTGACTCAACAGGTCAAAACCCTGAAGCACAAAGAGACCACATTAAGGAATACAACATGGCATTGGCACAGATGTTGCCCTTAGCTGGTCACACTTGGTGACGTCTCAAAATGCAAAATAAGAAGAAACCTACAAGCTTGAAATATCTCAAATGGGAATCCATAATTGCACTTATAGATTCCAAGAACTCGTACTTCTTTTTCGCTTCAATAGTCATCAATGAATTTACCTGCATTCCTTAAACCAAAGAGAAAACCATTTAGACAGAGAAAGGTTAAAAGACGATAGTAGTAAATAGTAATAGCTTATGTTCGTAGACTTAGCATACTAGATTGAAACGACTTTTCTCAAATGCTGACTTCGAGTTCTCCAAATCCTGTAAATACAACACTACAACTGTGTTACCATCCCAAATATGTGGAGCAGCATGTATATGGTTGAGTGTCACATTATATTAATTCACGTAAACATTTGGCTTGTTTGGGAAATCTATTAGATATAAGAAATACCTCTTCTAACTCAGCAACAATCTCTCCTCTGGTATTCTTCTTTAGCGACACATACTTTTCGCGTGCCTTCAAAATGGACAAGAAAATTCATTGCATAGCTTCAGATCAAGAATAACATTATACCTTAAAGTAGATTAAGCATCAACTACAATGCTTCTCAGTCTCCCATGCTATTCTGACTTCACCATTTTTGTCAGCAAACTCGTTTAATAATTAAACATTCCAACTAGTTCTTTCTTTTTAATATATTAGTGTGAGTTTCACGAAAAGCCAAGTTCATCTTGTGGTGACAACAATAACATATTTTATCAAAAGATAAATAAGGTGTGCCTCTCAATGTACAACAAGTAAGTGAAAGCAATAGACTATAATTAATTACCTGGTCATAAGAATGGACAGCTTTATCGAAACGTCTCCGAGACTCCTGAAAGGACAGAAAACAGTTAACGATAGCTTGAGTTTACGATAACAGATACATTTATCAATGCAGAGAGAGAGGAAAAAAAATTAGAAAAGAAAGATCTATAAATAAGAAAATGTCAAACGTCTTTGGTGTTTGGATTTAGCCTAACTAATGGCAATGGTTTAATAGAACTTGTCAACAACGTAATCATCTGTTTATTGATCAATCCCGAGCCTAACATATTTGACACTTAAGAGAAAACAATCAAAACTCGCAGCGCAAAAGGAGCTACCTTTGCTTCTTGTAAATCAACAGTCATAAAGTTCGTCAGTCTGTCAAGTAATACGTGCTCCACCTACAAAAAAAACATAATTAGTCTTCCAATACGGATTCAGATATTTTATGTGTAAATATTCGAAAGATACGATAAGAGTTACCTGTGACCGAAGAAACTCCTTATAAGAGGAGAGCTCTCGAAGTGTACTTATGAACTTAGATATTACTGGACCTGATGCCACCCAAAAGTACAACAATCAGACACAAGAACTCAGATATTACTACCACTGTCTATTTCAAGTGTAACCCAGTCCTCTAACAAAGTCAACTTAACTAAAAGAATATGCGACGCTAAAATGACTCTGCTACAAAAGAGAAACCGCAAAACCACCACTATGTGTCACAGAGCAGTCCTTTGTAACTGATGAGCTAAGACAACGCATCATAGTGTTTTTATAGCAAATAATTAACTAATTAGAGTTTGAAAGTGAATCAATAACCTCCAATTGAAACACTGACGGGATCATCATGTCCAGCGCCAAACTCTTCCAGAGAATCTGCAAAGGCACTGACTCCATTAGATGCCTCTCCCAAAGCTCCCCTATAAAAGAAAAAGAATGCAATTCCTATCAGGTACCAAATACTCTTCCTAGGCACAAGATTCACCAGCACAAAACTGGAACCATTACATATCAAACTTTAGCTTATAGAGTAAACTAACGCATGAACGAGAGTGCTAGTCACTGATCAATTCATTCCCATTGAGTCTCAAACAATAAGTTTTCGTCTCTATTTTGAAATTTGAGACAAATCTTACATTTACCGGAATATGGTACAAAAGTTAAAAAAGCTTCAGACTTCAACGGGTCAAACAGGTGAATTAAGACATTACGACAAAAACTGAAACAAACAAAAAAGGTAGGTAAGAATTACACTTACATGAACTTCTTAACACCTTTGTACAGCTTCTGACAACGACCTTTAAGCTCACCAGTTGTTCCTTCTAAAGAGAAAACCTGAACCAATCAACCAAAATGAACAAAGAAAAACCATCAAATCCCAAAACTTTATTGGAAGAAAACCTGAATACAATCCATAATGAGGAAAAAGTAGTGTACCTGTTTTTGAAACATTGGTGAATCTTCAAGATTGATAAAGGCCGCCATTGTTAAGACGACAAAGAAAAGAAACCGAAGAAGCTTCAGACAAAAAGTGTACGAATTGAGTTATGACAAGACAAGACGAGTAAACCCCAGAATGTCTTTCGGTTTCTTCTTCGATTCGAAATGGATCTCGCGAGATCCAGAGGCGTTTGTTTGATGATGTTTTTGATTTGCTTTGGGCAAAGCCAGAAAAATTTGGGAGTTAATTTTCATACAAATACACCCTCCTTTTATTTATTCATTCCAGAAACGGCTACAAATAATATGAGATGACAAAACCATCCTCATGTCACATTTGTTTTTGATTCACACATGTCATGCATGTGACACTCTGTTTGGAATCTCGCTAGGCGTTCATTTAGCGCTCGGTTGAAGCCTAGCGATTATTTCAAAAATCGGAAATAAATCGGAGAGAAATTTTTAAAAAATTAAAATCAGAAACTTTCTTATAAGTATAAATTCTATCAAAATTAAAAATTAATAACATAATTTTGGGAAAATTATTCAGAATGACATCTATTAATCATTTAATTACTAGATTAGCATCTGATAAAAACAACTTAGTTAAATAATGATAAATGACATAATACTCAGTTTTATTTATAGTAATTACATCTATTGCCATTTTTATTTAAATTTAACAATTCAAATAGTTCAGTTTAAATTTGTAATTTTTAAAAAACAAAAATCAAATTTAATGAAATAAATTCTATTCCAGATTTATTATCGACAAAAATAAAACCCTTGTGCTATTCAGTGACGGCGGTGCTGAAACGACAGTTCTTCTTCTCTCCGCCTCTATTGTTTCTAGTAATCGACGAGCCTCCGTTTATTTTTCCAATAATGATTTGTCTCTTCTTACGATCAACATCTGTCTTCCTTTCACTGCCTTAATTTCGCATCGCTATCATTCTCCTCTCCATTACCACCAAGTTCTGTTTTCTCCGACCTCGGCCGATGTCATTTCACCACTGCACTTGAAAGATAAATTCTTTTTTACCGATTAGTGATTATTATTATTAATGATGATTATTTTTTTTTAGTAACAAATTTTAAATAGTGACAGCAGAATTGTAGACATTCATTGGATTGTTTTGGACATTGATTTGGGGAAGAGCTTGATTTACGTTTATCTTTTTTTTATAGATATGGCTTCAGCAAGTGTTAAGAGTAATTACCCTCCACTACTTTATGCAAAGGGGAAAGCACCTAGCTAAAATAAAAGTATGAACTACTACTCTTATTTGTCCAATCTACGAATGGTGGAAGAAAATGTAGGAAAAGATGTTTGGGATGCCTTGAAGATGTCTTCTGTTGGAGTTATACCTAAGCTTAGAGAGATCGAATACAAATGGTGTGCCAAGGTTGTCCACTACTTGCTTACGCATCAGCTACGAACTATGAAAAATAATGAGATTTGGTCATTGATTGATTGCCAACCGATTCGTCTATCTTTGTTAGAGTTTGGGGACATTACTGGCCTGAATTGCGAACCGTTTCAAAAGGAGGATAGCTGGAATGTTGATCTTAGGGATTTTTGGAGAGAAATGAGAGTTTCTACATCCAAAGGACCTAACTTGAATGAGTTGCAGTTGGTATTGGAAAAATGCAAGAATTGGAGTTTTGAGAAGAGGAGAATGGTTGGATGGTTGTGCATTTTGTCTATTTGAATCTATGGCATCTCTCTGTCAAGTCGAATCCCTTTGGAGTGTGCCAAAAGAGTATTTGATCTAGAAGCTTTTGAGAGATACCCATGGGGTCGGGTGGCGTGTACTAGCCTGATAAACTCGATTAAAGTTGTAAGTTATGATGCTAAAATAAAATATACAATGCAAGAATGTGTTCATGTTTTGCTCATATGGGCGTATGAGTCAATTATTGGCTTAGGAGAAAAATATGGGAACAAAAAAGCTGGTGACGAAGTTCCTCTTCTTTCATGGAGTGGATCTCGTAAGCAATTCCGTTTTGACGACTTTATATTAGACGAGAAGAAAGCTTATGAAAATAAGGTAAGCTAAGTCATTATCTGTAATATATCTATTTTTTAATTAGTTTCTATTGTACTTTTGAGGGCTTTTTTTCTTCTTGGGGACTCTTTTTCTTAGCTTCTTAAAAAAATTATTACATTTTCAGGTGTGTGTAAGATATTTTGTTGCACAGTTAGACGGAAATATATATCCTAAGTGGGATGACGAGGTCGAAGATGAAGCTTTAAAGATCATGGTTAACGATATAATTAACAATTGTGTGGATGAAAAAGCTTGGGATATCATCGAAACTTCCATTACAAAGACGAAAAAACGTAAAGATTCAGTCCACCAGAGTGATGATGACTTTGACGGAAGTGGTGGAGCTGAAAATTCTATGAAGATGACAAAGAAAAAGAAGAAATCTGGTGGAGATGGCCGAGACAAAGATCCTTTAACTATGAGTACAAGTAACATAATCATTATGTTAATTATGCATAATCATGTTATCTTTTTTTTTATTTATTTGCGTCTTGACTTATTGTAGGTGGAGTTGAACCAATATCAAGATGAAATGTTAGGGCTCTTTACCATGGTCAAAACGCTGGCGGAAAAAGTAGACAACCTAGACACTAATCTAGCTACTAAGGTGTTGACAGGTTTGGATGCAGCACTTAACACAAAGGTTGATGCAAAAATTATTCCCATCATTGAAAAAATCACCACATTGGAAAAGGAGATGAAATACATAAAAGAAAGACTTGAAGCTGCTGATACGAAAGAAACCGCTAACTCCAATGTCAACATACACGAAGAAGTGAGTAGTAAAGATATGGTATGTTACTATAACCTTGATCTTTTATTTGTTTGTACGTTAGTGAGTTGCTTGTTGTGTGTTCCTATATTGTTTAATGATTGTGTAATGTCAACGCATGATGGTCATTGTATGGTTATGTTATTTTGTTTCTGGTCACTTTAATGATGAATGTTTTCTTATTTTCAAATTGGGAAATTTTACAGTCTTGGATGGTTCAGATGAAAGGAACATCGCATGCTGACTTACCCATTCCATGTGTTGTTAAGAATGTGAAGAAAGCAAGGAAAAAGAATGCAACTAAGATGAACATGGGTAAGACTCTTGAGAATATAAATAGACCTGAGAAGAAGAATAATGTTGCTGAGAAGAAGACTGTGCTACAAGAAGCTGAAGATGATTCTTTGGAAACATGGTCTAATCCGATATTGAGTGAAAAATACAAAAAACTTGGTGTAGGTTTAGCCATTATGGCCAAAGGGGTTGGGAATTTGAATGATCGTACGCCTCTCCAAAGGCGCCAAACAAAACTATCATCAACCCAGGTGCCTCTGTTCATAAGAGATTCTACAGTGAAGCGCATCATCTCATGTGTAACTCCATCTGTTATGGCATATGATCCGTTAGCTATGGTGGTAGACAGTAAACTGCAACAGTTAGTGAATTTTATACAACGTGATGAGTACGTCATTCTAATTGTTTTTTTTATTATGTTGTATAATAAGTTTGACATTAGCATTGTGTGAAACAATTTCTGTAATAATTTTGTAGGGAGGAACCACAAGGTACTTGGGATTCAAATGCTGAATTTTACAGAATTATTATCACTCCAAGAGAGCTATGGCCTAAGACAACATATGGGTGGTTGACTACTTCGGTTAGTACCCTGATTTAATGTTAAAACAAAATTTTCTTATGGCCTTTGTTAATTACTTTTAACATTATTCCAAGAGATCTCTACGTGATCCATCTCCGTACCATTCTCAACGGATTGCGTTCTTGGATCAGTAGTTCATCAATAAGTTGGTTCATTATTACCAGCAATTTAATCCTAAAACCTGGCGAGTGTCGGATAGTTATTTAGGTGTCTTCAACGGTACATATCCAGCTGACTCAGTGACAAACAGGAGGTGGCTTCATGATGTTGACCATCTGTACGCATGCCATTTCATAAATGACAATCACTGGGTTGCTTTGGACATTTATTTGGGGAAGGGCTTGATTCACGTTTACGATAGCATTCTCACTGTTGTCGAGGATGACAAAGAAATTCTTAAACATTGTCGGCCATTTACAAGGATGATTCCTGTGTTGCTGAATGATGTGGTTCCTTCTACTGTTCGAAAGAAAAGTGACAAACAGTTAACTGTAAGAAGATTGAGAAACGTCCCACAGAATGTTAACCCCGGAGACTGTGGTGTATATGCTCTAAAGTATATCTAGTGTCTTGCAGTTGGATGTACATTTGATGGGTTAAATGATAAGAACATTCCAGCAATACGACAAAAGTTAGCAGCTGAGATTTATGACGAGGTGGGACAGCCGCGAATCCCTCGATCCACCCAACTACTGATGGATTCACAATAGTAGTATCTTAAGGTTATTTTTAGTATTGAATTTTGCAATTTCTGAGTTTTGATTTTTTTCTCCTATTTAATAGAATTATGTAGCTAAGAATTTTGTTTTTGATCAAATACGTTTGAGTCTACATCTATGAAACATGTTTTGTTATTCTCATATATTTATATTTGCTTTCAAAAAACTTGTTTAAATTATACAAAAATATGATCACGTAAACACATATATAGTGACAATCTGACACATGTATTTTATAATCAAAATTCAAAACACAAACATAAAAATTGATGCATGGCCATTATATCAAACGCAATACCAAATTCTGTATCATATGAAATAACCAATTTGATTAAAAACTACGTAAAAATGATCAGACATTCTAGAACTAAATGAAAACCTTACATGTCTTACAATTATGCCCACTCTCATGGCATCGAGAACAAATGTGTTGTTTCCTAGGCCTTTTCTTACCTGTGATTTTGATACGATCCTCAAAGGTTGAGGCTCGTTTTGGTGGATGATGGAGGCTGAAAGCTGGACTAAAGCCATTCTCTTTCAACCAGTCGGATGGAGGATGGTCGAAGTGGAAAGATGGCGCCTGTTCAAGGGACTAAAGTCACTCCTTTAGAAGGCTGGTCGGATGAGGATGAGTAGAAGGTGGATCGATGGTCGCCACAAAGCCTAATGGAAGGAGACAATGATGAGACAAGTTAAACTGGGCAGAAATCACAAATGCCTAGAAAAACTGAAGAAGAGAGAACTCTTAAGACTGTGAGGGGACTTTATATAAAGTCCAAACAGTTATGCCCTTCTAGGGGTCTTTAAAGCAAATTACAATAACTGCAGCTAAATTAAAGGGTGGATAGTGTGCGGTTCACGACTTCAGTCTGTCCATCCGTCTAGGGGTGGCAAGTGGTAGAAAAGAGAAGCTTAGTCCCAAGCTTTCTCCACAAAGTCTTCCAGAAGTGGCTTAGGAACTTAGTGTCCCGGTCTGAGACGATAGTCCTTGGCAATCCGTGAATTCTGACAATCTCCCTGAAAAACAGATCAGCAATCTGGGTTGCATCGTTGGTCTTGTTGCAAGGAATGAAGTGTGCCATCTTGGAGAACCGGTCTACTACCACAAATATGGAGTCCTTGTCTCTTATCTTAGGCAGTCCTAAAATAAAATCCATAGACACATCTACCCAATGTAGGTTAGGAATTGGTAAGGGAATATAAAGTCCATGAGGATGCAACCTGGATTTTGCCTTTAGGCAGATGATGCATTTGGAGCAGAATCGTTTCACATCTCTTTTCAGGTGTGGCCAGTTGAAGTGCTCATCAACAATGTTTTTGGTCTTTTGCAATCCAAAGTGTCCCATAAGGCCGCCTCCATGGGCCTTCCTAAGAATCAACTCTCGCATCGAACTCTACGGAATGCATAATCTTTTGTCCCTGAAAAGAAAACCATCATGTTTATAGTGAGGACTAATAGCACCTTTTGTACGCTGCTGATAGAGCTCTCCAAAGTCTGGGTCGTTGCCATATAACTCCTTGAGATGCTCAAAACCCATGATCTTGGCCTCCATGGTGGAAATCAGGGCATGCCTCCGAGATAAGGCATCAGCTACAATATTCTCCTTGCCCTTCTTGTACTTGATCACGTATGGGAAGGTCTCCACAAACTCGAGCCATTTTGCATGTCGTTTCTTCAGTGTGGTCTGGCCCCTTAGGTATTTGAGCATTTCATGGTCGGTATGGATGACAATATCCTTAGAAATAAGGTAGTGCTGCCATGTCTCCAAAGACCTTACTAGGGCGTAGAGCCCCTTGTCATAGGTGGGATAGTTGAGTGCAGCTCCATTCAGTTTCTCGCTGAAGAAGGAAACCGGTTGCCCTCCTTGAGTTAGGACAGCTCCAATACCTGTACCTGAAGCATCACATTCAACTTCAAAAGTTTTGTCAAAGTTAGGTAAAACTAAGACAGGTGCATGGGTAAGGCTATCTTTAAGCTTTTGAAAAGCTTCTTCTTGTTTTGGCCCCCAAGTGAAAGCAACATTCTTCTTGATCACTGCAGTTAAAGGGGTAGCAATGGTACTGAAGTCCTTGACAAAGCGCCGGTAAAAGCTTGCTAAGCCGTGAAAACTCCGAACATGACCAATGGTGGTTAGCGTGGGCCAGTCTTGTATGGCTTTGATTTTCTCTTCATCCACCTTTAGACCCTGTGAACTAACAACAAAGCCTAAAAATACCAATTGATCAGTGCAGAAAACACATTTCTTGAGATTAGCATATAAATGTTATAGCCTTAAAGTTTCTAAGACTTTCTCAAGATGATTAAGGTGTTCATCCAAGCTAGTGCTGTATACTAGAATATCATCAAAATACACAACAACAAACTTACAGATGTAGGCTCTTAGAACGTGGTTCATGAGCCTCATGAAGGTGCTTGGTGCGTTGGTGAGGCCAAACGGCATGACCAGCCACTCATATAGACCTCTCTTGGTCTTGAATGCTGTCTTCCACTCATCACCTTCCTTCCTTCTGACTTGGTTGTAGCCACTCTTAAGGTCTATCTTTGAAAAGATGGTGGCACCACTGAGCTCATCCAACATGTCATCTAATCTTGGAATGGGATGCCGGTATTTGACGGTAATGTTGTTGATGGCCCTGCAATCTACGCACATTCTCCATGTGCCATCTTTCTTGGTTACCAACAGGACTGGTACTGCACAAGAACTAAGGCTCTCACGGATATAGCCTTTGCTCATCAGGTCTTGAACTTGCTTCTCTAGTTCCTTAGCCTCCTCGGGATTGACTCTATAGGCTGGTCGGTTGGGTAGTGGGGCTCCGGGTACAAGGTCAATCTGATGCTCAATTCCTCGGATAGGTGGTAATCCGGTGGGAATGTCTTCAGGAAATACGTCCTTGAAGTCCTCTAACAGCCTAAGTACTTCTTCTGGTTGCTTGTCCTCTTCGGGTCCTGAAAAATACCCTTCTCTAAAGACCATTAGTAGCACCTTCTCTTTCATTTCTAATGATTTAATAACTTTGCCAGGTGAAACATAAAGATTGGTCTTACTTACCTCGGTTCCTCTTGACATTGCCTTTTGCAGTTCATGTACTTCTTGAGAGGTGAGGGGTTCTAGGTTATGCTTACGTTTGTTATGGATGAAGCTGTAGTAGTTAGTCCTTCCATTATGCATGGTCTCTTTGTCAAATTGCCACGGCCTCCCTAGTAAGAGATGTCCGGCTTGCATGAGAACAACGTCACACACTACAGTGTCTGTGTACTTGCCGATTTGGAATAGCACCGTGACTTGTTCAGCTATCTTGAGCTCGGTTTCATCGTTGAGCCATCTCAGCTTGTAAGGATGAGGATGCTTGGTCTTTTCTAGCCCTAGCTTTATAACCAAATACTTGCTAGCCACATTAGTGCAAGAACCACCATCAATAGTTAAACTACATACCTTGGAGTTTATGGTGCATCTAGAGTGAAAGATGTTTTCCCTTTGGATTGTCTCAGCATCAAAGAGTGCACTAAGAGCTCTCCTAACAACAAGTATTTCTCCTACGTCAGGATAGTTGATAATATCATCGTCGGCGTGTTCTAACTCTTCTGCTTCTCCTTCATCTTGGGACTCATACTCTCCATTTGCTTTGAGAATTATGATCCTTTGATTGAGGCAATCTCTTGCATAGTGTTCTTTTCCTTTACATTTAAAACAAGAAAGGTCACGAGTTCTAGTAATTGGTTGAGTTTGGGACTTATCTTGCTCTGGTTTGAAGGCTGGCTTCTTGAACCTGGAATCTGTCTTAATAGACTTCCCTTTGTCTAGGTCGCGTTGAGGAGTCCAAGGGGTATTGGTCCGGTTGGTGGAGGCTGTCTTCCTCTTGATATGTTGCTCAGCTTGGATAGCTAAGGGCAGAAGCTCCTCCAAGTCATGGTAGCGTTGCCTTTCCACTTTTCTGGCAATCCTATCTTGCAGGCCATCCAGAAACTGCTCCATTTGAGTCTCTGGTGTATCTTCAACTTCTAGTCTATTTTTAAGACTTTCAAACTCTTCAAAATACTCTTCCACCGATTTGCTCCCTTGAGACAATTTGCGGAATCTCCTTTGTATATCCCGGTGGTAATGAGCTGGAACATATCTCTTCCTTAGGCTAAACTGCAAATCCCTCCAGG